AAAAAAAAAAAAAAAAAAAAAAAAAAAAAGACATAAATGCTAGACTTGCCAAACCATGCACCAAGACGTAAAGGCAAATAGTCTTGAAAGTAATGAGAAGATAGTGAACCTCAGCAAAGAAACAGAAGATATAAAGAAAAACCAAATGGAAATTATAAACCTGAAAAATACAATGAGTGAAATTAAAAATTCCCTGGCTGGACTTTATACAAATTTGGAGAGAGGGTTTGCCAAGGATGGCGATTATACCATTCAAACAAACACAGAAAAGGGTTGAAAAAAAATTTCAGAGTCGCAGATATCCCTGTGACAATATACTGAAGTCTAAATCTGTGTCACCAGTCTCAGGATGAGAAAGATTATGCAAAAAAAAAAAATTAAAGTAATGCCTGAAAAGCTCACATTTGTGAAAGACCTAATTTACAGGGTCAGGAACTCTGCAAACCCCAAACACTCAAACCTACACCCACACACCATATAATCTAACCCCTGACAACTAAAACAAATAAAAAAACTTTGAAAGCAGCAGAGAAAATACATTTCAGCCAGGAGAACAATGATTTAAATGTGGATTTCTCCTCATAAACACACAGATCAAAAGATATAAAATAACACTATCAATCCACAAATATAAAAAAAAGTGGAAATTGAAATAAAAACATTTTTAGATAACAGATAATTAAGAGGATCCACTGCTAACAATTCTGCTCTAAGAAGGACTGAAGGAAGAGCAATAGACCTGGTAAAGTGTCTGAAGAAATATTTTACAATATTTTTCCTAAATTCTTTAACATATATATGAAAATTGAAAAAAACAGCATATGTATGATATAATATATAATAACACAAAAGTGTGGCGAATTACACATCTGGACTAACACGGCAGTAAGATTTTTGTAGTCCATCAATAGTGGTAAAGTATCACCCCTAACAACTATGGCAAGTTAGTGTGCATACTGTAATCGCAAGAACATCAAGTAGAAAAAGAAAAAGAACCAAAAACAAGTAAACGATCACACCAAAAACCAAGAACAGCAAAAAAATCACAAGAAAACAAACACGTTTACCAAGGGATACAGTAAACATCTCAAGAAATAATTTTAAAAATCAATTTAAAAAAGGCAGAAAAGGAAAAGTGATACAATAAAAAACAATAAATTGAAAAATGATATGATATAAATCTAAACATATTGATATTCATATTAAATGCAAATGATCTAAAGATATCAGTTAAAAACAGCTATTATCCATTTTCCTATGAATGAATCTATTTTCTTGTTCTTTATGGCTGAGTAATAATTCTATTTTATAGAAAAACCATATCTTCCTAAGTGAAATAAATAAGTCACACATGTTGAAATACCGAATAATTTCTCTGGTGTGAATAATCTGCAATAATGCATAAGATCCTAATAAGTTACTGACATTTAGAAATGGGAAGAAAGGAGCTAAAGGTGTAGGGAAGGTGGGAAGGGTAGGGGAAGGGTAATAAGGGAAAAGAAAAAAATGTGAGATAATGAAAAGATGGAAATAAAGTGTTTGTAGATAGGGAGGGGAGGAGGGGGTGAAGGGAGGGCAGAGGTAAGGGGAAAAAATGAGAACCAAGACCTGTCATGTAAAGGTACAGGATCCCAACAATGAATGTAACTGTACTGTATCCCTAAAATGTACCAATAAACTCAATTAAAGCTGAAAAAAAAACATGAAAAAAAACCCAGCTATTATCTATTCATTTCTTTTTGTAAGAATCTTTTTTTGCTTATGTATTATATGCTAAGTAATTACTTTGAAGAGATGATACAGTCTATTCATTATTGTTCTTTTATTGTTGTTATGAAATTTTATTTTTTTCATAAAAAAGATACAATGGTCTAAATATAAATATAAAATAAGGCCTAAATATATACTCTTTTTTTAAATGGTAGACATTTTTTTAATGCTTATTTTTTTTATTGGTACCTTTAACGCAAACAATACAGTTATATTTATCATTGGGATCTTGCACTTTACATGATAGGTCTCGGTTCTTGCTTTTTCCCCATACTGCTGCCCTCCCTTCAAGTTTAGGATTTTAGTGATAATATAAATATCTATATCTATATAATAAATTATTATATATTTAATACATAGTATTATATGATATAAATATATAAATAATATATTTAAAATTTCCTATGTATAGATACAAAATATCGAATCATTTTCTTTTTCTTTTTTTTGGTACCGGGGATCGAATTCGGGTCTTTGTGCTTGCAAGGCAAGTGCCGGAACAACTGAGCTAAATCCCCAGCCCTTCTAAATATATACTCTTTACAAGAAACCCATTTTCTCTGGTCAAAAGCAAGAGAATGAAAAACACATAATGAAAACACTAATCAAATCAAAACCAACAAAAAAATCCAGAAGGATTTTTCTGGTAAATAAAGTTTGAAATTCTATTCAATGAAGAAACTCAACAAATAGTGTGAGGACAATCTGACATCTTATATAGAAAAACAAAACAGAACTTTTAGAAGAAAACATGAGAACATTTTTATGGCTTGATAATATGCTGAGTTCCTAGATGTAAAATCAAAAGTATGACCCGTAAAACAAAACAACAAAAAAAATGGGTTTTACTGAAATAACTTTCTGCTTCATAAAACATAAACAATATTTCATAATTTCATAATAAACATAAACAATATTTATGAAGCACATATTTGATAAATGATTTATATCCAGAGTATATTAAGAAAAGCAAACCACACTATTCAGCAACCAAAAAGAATGAACTTGGACACACACACAACTTGGATGGATCTCAAAGGCAGTGTGTGGAGTGAAATACACCGTGACCAACAGACAGCACGCTCTATGGTTCCTTCTGTGTGACATTCTGCAAGGAGTGAGCCACAGTAGTGAGGAACAGGAGTGCTGCCAGGCTCAGGGCTGTGGGGACAGGAGGTCCACGGGAGAGCAGCACAAAGGGAGACTCCAGGTCACAGGCTGTTGTTCTGTGTTTTGATGGTTGTGATAATTTATTAATCTATTATTAAACTATAGCATGTGTCTACTAAAATATTTACAAAAAGTTTGTAAAAGCAGGGAAATGTTTGCTGTTGAATAAAAAACAGGACTCTTACATTATGCTTTCAACTTTGTAAAAAATACACCTTTGATATATTTATTATTGAGTGATAGGATCACATTTGTCTTTTAAATATAATTTCTTACTCTATAACATTATTTAAAAACGTTTAAATTTATTTTAAAAACAGATACTAACAAATAAAATTTATCCTGAGACTTCATTAGTAAAAAACAGTGACAAAACTTTATCACTATGTTAAACAAAAATTTCTTAGGAAAATAGAGTATTTGTTAAAATAGCATGCATCCTATGGAAATATTATACAGCAAAACTAATGGCACTGACGGCATTTAATTAAGCACATAGACACGTGTCTGATGTTAGGTGAAGAAACTGAACAGAAGATGCGATACTGTCCTAGCTATGTAAAACATGCTATGTGTATGACTTTGCCTCGTATAAGTAAATACTTCACATTAAAACTGGATGAAACCCAAAGTAAGACATCAAAACGGTAGCAGTGGTTGTCCTTGCAATGCAGATGATGACCACAGCTTCACCCTCCCCGCTGCCTAGCACTCCCCAAGCGCATGCAGTGCTCCTGTAATACTGTTCCTGGAACATTCTGGAGTCTCCATAATGAAACAAATGCTCAGTGGATGCCTTCAGGTAGAATTAATGGCTGCCTCATTAATGATTCCAGAACATTCAGTGTCCACGGTCAGGAAATGACACATTTAGTGGACACACACCGAGCGTTCATATTCGGACGCCATGAAGGCAGTGCAGAGGTGACCGCAAGCCACAGTCACATGCAAACGTGGCCAGACTGTGGTCTACCCGGGTTTGGAACTGTGTTTCATTTCTCTTTTTATTGCCATCGCCTGACTCAAATGAAATTTCGTGGGTCTGAATTGAATGAAATTCACAAAAATGCCGTTTGGAGACTGGCAGGTCCCACACGTGCCATTCCAGAACAGGATCAGTGTTCCTCGTCCAGCCTTATCTGCACGCACTGCCTGCATGTTCCTCCACAAGCCACTGGAAACACAGCCTCTGGACACTGGCATTCCACTCTGAGCAAGGACTGACAGCTTTTGGGATTTACAAAGATTATTCAGAAGTCCTCTTTCTAAGAAAAAAAGAAGTTATGAAGCAAAATTTCCTCTTGTTCAAGCTCATGGTGATCTTAAACATCTCAGTGACAGGAGAAGTGTTCAAAACTATACCACTGACAGAGTCCTTATTGTTGACCTTAACTGTGAATAATTTTATGTTCTCAAGTATAGAATTCATAATTCTCATACTTTTTATCTCAGTTAGTGTAAACTGTAGGTGTTTTTCTTATTTATAAAAATGTCTTATCCTTTATAAAACAAAATCCTTAAGCTATTTTTATACAGTGATTACTCGTGAAAAAAATTGCTTTACACTTACAGGGGGGCCAGGGTGTTGACTGGGAGGAAACTGTAATTGCTTGCAATACACCTGCAATGATTTCAAGTAGGAAGGCACATCTCTAATTTCTCTGAATTGCACTAAGATCTTATTTTCTGTTCTTGCTAATCTGCCTTTATTTTTCTTTTACCCAGAACAATAACATTTATTTCTGTCTGGCCTCATTTATGCACAGATATTCAAATTAATTACAAAGATAATCTCACCGGTGACAGGGAAATAGGTATAGAAAATTGGTCTTTTGGATGAGGCACAGCTGTTACAGAAACAATTTTAGAAAAGCTATTATATGAAAAGAATGCTTACTGTTTATTTATTTCCAGAAAACGATAAAGATTAAATGTGACCATTCCAGTAGGCAATGCCCCTTCCACAGGATTCCACCGGTCCCCAGGAAAGCGGACACCTGGCAAATGCTTTGCCATCTTGGGTAAATACCACTCGTAAGTCATCATCTGCCAGAAAATTGCATATGATATCATACTTTTAGTATACTTCTTTACAAAATCAAGGTAGCAAGTACAAAAAGATCTAAAATGTGAGTATACTTTTTCAGTAATTGATACTTTCAAGCACAACAGAGGAGTGTGGCCCTGGCCACTCCGAAAACAACCAACCCTTGGGCTTTACATCTCACCACACAACTGTCCCAGCACACCAGGCCTCGGTGTCATGGCTTCTACTCTCCCCCCACGAGGCCCTCCCTGCCCCGGCCCCAGGCCCAGCTCTGGCCTGTTCCTCACACGTCTGTGCTCCCAGGGAGGAAGGACTGGCGTGGGAGGCAAAGGAAAGTTCCTGAACGACGCTGGCTGAAGGTGTGATCTCTGTGAGGGTCAGGCTAAGCTGCCCAAGCAAGAGACAGGACAGCGTCAGATGCCACGGCTTCCTCCCTCCAAAGAGCCAGCGCCACTCACCCCAGAGAACAAGACCCAATCCCCCGGCCCTGAGCGCAATCACCTAATAATCTAGGCAGCAAATGACAAACCCGTCTGGCCAAATCAGCTTAATTTATTAGCAGATCCAAGCTAATTACATAACTTTACACGTACTTTTAATTAAAATAATTAGAAGAAAATAACTTGTTTTTTTTTTTTTTGTATCAGGGACCAAACTCAAAGCCTTGTACTTGCAAGGCAGGTGCGGTGCCACTGAGCTAAATCCCCAGCAAAAATCACTTTTCATAATTCAATACCTAACACATACTTACTACTTAATTCTATACTTTTATGTAGTGAGAAACCCTCTTTATGTAGAAGAGACAGTGCTTTGGTAACTTTGTTAGAGTTCATGCATCACCGTTTCAGCAACTGTGTTTAGGTTTTTCTTCGTGTAAGATATTTAAGAAGCGAATGGCTCTTTATTTATTTTTCTGGTACTAGGCATCAAACACAGGGGCACTTGTCCAAGGAGCTACATACCCAGCTGTTTTTATTTTTTATTTTTGAGGGAGCGTCTTACTAAGTTGTCCAGGCTGGCCTTAGATTTGCAATCCTTCTGCCTCAATCTCCCAGGTAGCTTGGATCACAGGTATTCACCAACATGCCCAGCTACAAATTAATTTTAATCTAAGGGTACCTCGTGAAATTCAAGTAATACTTCCTGTATTCGATTTTCTTACTCAGTAGCTTCAGTTTGGGGAAATGCTGATACTGAACATCCTCTGTTAATGACCTTCATGCGCCTCAGTTAGTTTCCAGAATAACCTTACTACGTGAGAATAATTGCATTAGACACTGCTGTTGCCCATTCAATAGCTACTACTTTCCTTTTTGCTGATGTTGCCCTATTTTGATCAGGCAGCTCAGGGCCGGTAACACGCTCTGAGTTGAGTATTGTGGGAGTGGCGCATGGACCCTCACTGCTGAACACAGAGCTGGGGGAGGTACAGGCCCCCCCAAAGAAGCACCTTGTTCTACAGCATGACATTTGGAAGTGAGCACTCATCTGGGACTGTGGGGGAAAGTCAGAAAAGCTGCCCCAGAATATTGCCATCATCGAGTTGCTTGTATCAATCCAAAGCCTATTTCCCAAATACTCATTATGTGAAATAAAAATGCCATAATTTAAGCTACTCTTCCTCAGGCATTATGTGTTTTGCATTCTAAAGCCTCCTGCTTTATAATGATAACTTCCATTTCGTGCATAAGGGAACAGAAGCTCTGACAGAAAAACTCACTTGTCCCTCTCACATGCCTCGGAAATGGCTGAAGATTGGATTTCGGTTTTACTCTCTGGGAAACCCATGCTTCTCAGCTACGGCAGCTGTTGCCCCAAACAGTACATATATATACTCTGGTTTCTCTTCAGATCTTTCGCCTTTTACCAAATATATATGATATAGGTATTTTACACACACACACACACACACACACACACACACACATACAATTCATGTTATATATAATGTAAGTGGTGGGATTGAAGTTGGAGCCCCATACACGCTACCCATGTACTCTACCACCGAGCTGTGCCCCCAGACCCTCCAAACAGTATTTAAAATCATAGTACAATACCATGTTATCAACAAGTTTTTTTCAGTAGCTAAAATGAAGATCAAATTCATCAATTTGTATGCATAACATAAATGCAACTGCTTATAAAATATGCAATTTGCAAATTTCCCTACAGATTATTTGAAAATTTGTTTATAGTTTTCTCCCAAAATTCTAATTATTTTTTAATTCAACATAGGTTTTTTTTTTTTTTTTTTTGCTACTAGGTAGGGATCAAACTTTCAAGATTAAGAATTTCTCTTTTCCTCATGATTCCTCTAAACACTAGTTAGATTTGGTCTCCTTTAAGTATTTATGGTCTAAATAATAAATCATATTTAAACATAGTTTTTCAGTTGCAAAAAATTGTCTTAATAGCCATCAAAATTTCTACAACTTCCCTCCTAATGTATTTTTGACACAGGAACAGCTAAGATTATGTAAAATTACTATAGCACAGTTTTGGTTAATAATTTTTATTTTGAGAAATTATTTGAGACTTTTACTTTCCCATACTACGATTCATATTATATTCAACTCAGGGCTAGTGTTCTACTCTTTAGCTACATCCTTAGCTCTTTTGAAAGTTTTTATTTTGAAAAGAGATCCTGCCAAGTTACCCAGGCTGGCCTCAAACTTGTGATCCTCCTACCTCACCCTGCCAAGTTGCTTGTGTAACAGGCATGCAGGACTAAGCCAACAAAACACAGAAATTCTGAAACCAGTTAGTTTAAATGATAGAAACAACGCATATGATTTGTATTATTAAACAAAAAAATATGACATATAGTCTAATATGATTACAAACAATGCATTCATCCATTAAGATGTTTTTTTCAAAAATGTTTTAAAAATGATTGCTATATTCTAAATGTCTTTTACGTATTATGTATCATATATCATATATACTTACTTCCTGATCCACTAATGAAATATCTGGCCTTAAACCCTCACAGTAGTGCAGGTAACGGAGACCATTCCCTGGCAAATCGCCTCTGAGTAAGATGATTGCATCACGGGGCATAGAGTCTAGGAGATTCTTTGCAAACATATTGATCACATTGTTGGTCCTTTGGTCACAGAGGCTAAATAGAAAGATGAAAGTTAAAGCTGCATCAACAATTAGCCATGTTTTAAGATTTTTTTCACATCAAACAATCTACATTTAGTGTTTCAGTACTTTCTAAGTTATCTCCTCAGAGAGGATGCATATATTTGGGAAAAACACTACTATCTGATAAAACAAAAGAAAAGACCTAACTGTACAATTGAAAAAACCCAGTTTCTGCTTTACTTCTAGAATTCATAACCGCCTTTATAAAAAGGGAGTTTGTTCAGTGTCCCAGAATAAGCCCCTCCCCAAGTAATCCAATTTCATCCAACAAAGCTAAGTTTTGTGACTCTGTGGAATTAAGGTAATTTCATGTTAATTCCATTTACACCAAAGGAACTTTCAGAAATGCAGAAGGAAACCTGTACCTGCGTGCCGAGGCTGACCCTTCCCACCACTGCCCGCATCCCAAGCTTCCTGCAGTCAGTCACTCTTCCCTCGGGACCAGAAGTCTCTCCGGGCAAGGAGGGCAACAGGACAAGCAGGAGAGAGCGCTGTCTACTCTCCAGTGTGTCCTCTACTTCTCTCTACCATTTGCTCTTGCCAACAATAGCGCTATAGGTCTTTTCAAAAACAAAGCAGGTTTTGTAACTTCAAAAAAAGTAGGGAGGGGGATTCAGCTCAGTGGTTCTGTCGCCTGCCTTGCAAGCTCGAGGACCCGAGTTCGATCCTTGGTACCAAAAAAAAAAAAAAAAGTGCATGAATTCTGAGAAATTAACATGAAAAGAGAAAAAGCAATGTCACACTGTATACCTGCAATATGTACCAATAAATGTACCTACAATGTATAATAAAATTAATTTTAAAAAGAAAAGAAAAGAGGAAAAGCATCAAAAGCCGGAAGGAATGGCCTTCCCATCAGGAAGGGGTACGCTACATTTGAGGGCGCCGAGGAGCACTGCCTGAAGCTGGATCACCAGGTTGGCTCCACAAAGCAGACTGACTTCTGGGAACGTGGTATCACCCTGCTTGCACGATTGATGCCAGCGTCGCTGTTTCCTACCACTGCCCGCCACGTTGCTGTGGGTAGCGGTACACGTTTTGCCACCCAGCAGAGTAGCTATGAATGCCATTCCCTTGGGGCACACGAAGATGGCAAAACAAGCTGAACTCCTAGTCTGCACGCACATCGCGGTGGTGAGGCTCCCAGAAACCCGGAGGAGGAGGCTGACAGCCCCTCCAGCCAGCAGCCCTGGTGCATGGGCACGTGGCGCAGGAACCCGTCCTCACAGGCTATACTCTGGGATGACCAGGACCTACGGATGCTTTCAGAGTTAAGCTAAAAGATGAAGTTGGTTCTAAAACGATCTCAGTCAGCTCTCACTGTACCTTGAAACACCAAGGACTTCCTCTTCCACTTTTGTAACATGTATCAAACTGCTAGAAATAAACTGTCATCTAAGACTTGGGCATCTTTTAGGTTACACTGAGATTTCATTGTAATCATTATTTAACAGATCTAAAAATACATTTTTTTGTTTGTTTGTTTGTTTTAGTACCGGGGATTGAACTTGGGGCCCTCGACTTGCAAGGCAGGTGGTGAAACCACTGAGCTAAATCCCTGGCCCAAAAATACATACTAAAAAATACTATATGGGAGTTAAGAAACTTAGAACTTAATTTAAAAGTAATTAATTATCTCTACTACAAAGCTAACTGGAAAAGGGCCCAACATTACCCAAAAGATGAACTCTTTGGAGCATGAAATACATTATTTTAATGCCCATAAAAAGCTCCAAGTATCTTTACTGTCTGTGTAAGCAGTATTTTAGATCATGGAATTTTACACACACTCTAAATTCTGCAAAGTATCTCCAAGGTTCTTCAGGAGAGTATATAAAGAATCTGTGTACACTGTCTGCACCCTTGTTTAAAGAGGTGTGAAGACTCCAGTCACCCATTTTGAATTCTGTTTCAGGCGGACTAACAACCCCCAGACATTAAAGACCACTGAAATTGGACTAAGCTGTCTCACTTAAGTTTTGGAAACCAATACAAGCTAAAAATGAAACCAAGTCCCACACCTAAGTATCCAAATGTCTCTGGCTTGGGTGCTACTTTTCATAAAAATAAGCAGGTTACCTGTAATTAGAATACATTTGGTAAACCACAAATAGAGTTGCTGAGAGCCATTCCAGACGTTGCAGCCTGCCGCTGTTCAGAACCCGGCTCATCTGTGATGCAAGTGTTGCCAAGCCAAGACCAGCGAGGACAGCCACCACGGCGTTACTCTGCATCCAGAACCGTTCCACCTGCAAGGGACACAGAAGCCATGCATCTAGCTGGCTGGCAATCAATCGGCTACTTACATATTCTGAAAATACACTGCTCACACTTAGTGCTAGGCCTGCTCTCATGAAGATCTTGTTAACTGAGTTTCCAAATCCAACCCTGTACAGATTGCTTCATTTTTTTCAATTTTCAAGAAAAGTCGGATGTGAGCCTCTTTCTTTTCAATTTTTTTTTTTTTTTTTTTTTGGTGGTGTGGAGGATGAAACTCAGGGCCTTGTGAACACCAGACAAGCATTCAGCCAGAATGAATGCAGCCAGAAATGAGCCTGCATTTTCCTTTTTGGATGCAAACATTCACTTTAATACAGTAACCATCCATTTTGGGCTCCAGAAATAGGGTGGAGGAGGCAGGAAAATGTTCTGGCCTGATTCCTGGCCTCTCTCCCTGTGAAGGAGCTCCAGGAGTCTAACAACCCTGGGCCCCTCCTTTCCTCTTCCAGTGGGACAAAAGAGCAGAGCCTGCAACCCCACCCCTCTCCCCAGCCTCCAGCCACTCCCTACTCTTAGGAGGGAGCTGCCCACAGGAAGCACGTGTCCAAGAGCAGAGTGTTGCCCAGCCAGCGGGTGGGGGTGATGGGGCCAGGCCTGTGGCACAGCCCTGCAGGTGACTCGTGGCTGGGTCTGCCCACCCTGTGGCATCGCGAGGCCAGCCCTCGTGCACAGACAGTCTGCAGCCGCAGGGTGATCAGCAACAACGCCCTCATTTACACCGCCTATCTCGTTTCTCAGTTGATATATGTACAGAGTTCTATGATAGGAGAAGAAATACGCTAATCTCAGAGACGGCTGCTGGGCGCACAGCTCTATGGTGCAGTCCCGGGACTGGTGAGGTAAATAAGGAATGAGTCAGTGGCTGCCCTCAGTTATAACCCTTATTTCTTTTTTTAGTCTAAAAAATTTCTAGGTGAAACGCAATTGTACATATATTCGCAAGTGTATACACACACACACACACACACACACACACACCACTAAAATATCTGAGATTTGTCTTTCTATTTCACTACAATGTTAACCAAATATTGCAACTCCTCCCTAAAAACAGGCTAAGTCTTAATGGCTCAGTAATTGAACTTCCGATTTATTTCATTCCTGAAATAGCTTGCTCTTCTATAAGGCTTATGAAATACAAATTTGTATAATCCTCACAAACTTTCCAGTTAAAGGGTATATCTAAGTACGACTTACCACACCCATGAAAAGTGGTTTTGAAATATCTAAGTTTGCCCTCCAAGCAAAGAACAGCGAGTAAATGTAAAGCATTCCGGTAAACAGCCAGACTAACGGCGAATTCTGTCCGTCCCTACAAAACAAAAAATCCAGGCATGCGCAAAGTTATCTATATGCGTGAACATCATCATAGTATTCCTATTTCCAAAACTTACCATTTTTAAGAAGAAAAACCTCAGTTTTAAAAAATCTGAGTAGGAACAGATGACCAAGAGCTAGTAATAAACCTGAATTGCATACTGCAGGCAACTTAACTTGGAGCTCTGAAGCAAAGGATATTCAGAGTAACACAAACTATTAACCTTGTTAAATTTCAGAAGTAATCAAACATATAAAACAAAAGCATTATTTTGATGCTTGAAATAATAAAGATTTAAAAGTGACAAATCTCAACATCAGTGAGAATTTAGGACAAGAATGCATGTTATTATAATCCTTGAGAAAAAAATAATTCAGTAATATCTCTATGAAGAGCCTTAATAATACTCATAACCATTTAGTCAGTCATTTCTGATTCAAGTATAAATCTTTAAACAATAAACAGAAATATGAAAAATATCTATAAAAATGCTCTAGGGTGATTATCACTTATAACTGGAAAAAGTGGGAAGCAATCTAATGATTCTCAAATAAGAGAACATTTAAATTCACTCTCCTATGGTCACAGGATGGAATATAAGCATTTAAGTGACTTAAAGTTTAATCAAAAGGTATGCGAAAATGTTAACAATACAATGTTAAGTATTAAATAAGACATATACATACAGGTGTAAACATTTACATATAAATACATTCAACAGATGTGAACATACAATGAATATAAAATTAATGGGGACTAACAGTGCTACCTTTTACGGTTTTTTTATTATCAGAGAAATTTAAACTTATTTGTTTCCTTTGTAAATCAATAATAATAACTAGCACTGGGCAGAGTAAGCAATCAGACCCAAGGCTTAAGACATCAAATGACCTGCCTCTTTGCATAAACTGATCACTTTTTGAACATTGATTTATAATCAGGAGATAAAATAAGCTAAGTTCTTCCTAGCTTCTTCATTCTCTTAATGAAGCAGATTTGCTTTACCAGAGCTGGTTAGCAGAATTACGGATTTGGAACAGAAAGAATACTGGCAATGTCCTACAATGACATACTGCAAACATTCACTCAGTTAACGACCACGGTAAGAACAACAGCAAAAGTAATCATTTTACTCACCTTCTTGCTGAACATATATTTGCCCAAACTGCAAGGGCTTGAATGTTGAGAGAGAGTTCTGTCCTCATACTCGTTACTTGAGAACTGTAAAAAACAAACTAAATTATTAAGGGCAGAAAACAAGTTGAGCTAATTGCAAATAAAGTATTCTCTGTAGAATGTATTTGATTATCACCATAGAAAGAGTTAAATACTTCTAAGATGTTTTCCAATTGTAAACTTTGATTATCAACACGTATAATTTGTGACGGGATCTAGTTAAATAATTCTGTGGGGTTTTTTGAGACAAGG